GCAAAAAAAACTCATTCCTATCCAGTCAATTCCAACTCACAGCCATCCTATAGGACAGAGTAGAACTGCCCCATAGGGTTTCCAAGGCTGTAATCTTTACAGATACAGACTGCCACATCTTTCTCCCTTGGAGCAGCTGGTTTGAACCATGGACCTTTTGGTTAACAGCTGAGCGCTTAACAGCGGCACCTCAGGACTGCTTAGTCCAAGATACTTATTTGATTACCTAGCACCGTACAACATTGAGTTTTCAACAATGAGTTTGCAGTGATTGAAGCTGTATTTGATTAAGAAAAGAAGAATCCTCAGGGTTGAACTTTTTTTTTTATTGTGCTTTAGGTGAAAGTTTACAAAGCAAATTAGTTTCTCATTAAACAATTCATATACATATTGTTTTGTGACATTGCTTGCCAACCCCACAAGGTATCAACACTCTCCCCTTCTCGATGTCAGGTTCCCCATTTCCATTCATTCAGCTTTCTTGTCCTCTCCTGCCTTCTCGTCCTTGTCCCTAGGCTGGTGTGCCCATTTATTCTCGTATGCATGGTTGAACTATGTGTGTTATGTTTGTTTTGTAAGCTTGTCTAATCTTTGGCTGAAGGGTGAACCTCAGGAGTGACTTCAGTACTGAGTTATAAGGGTGTCTGGGGGCCATACTCCTGGGATTTCTCCAGTTTCTGTCAGACCAGTAAGTCTGGCTTTTTTTTGTGACTTTGAATTTTGTTCTACGTTTTTCTCTTGCTCTGTCCGGGACACTCTATTGTGATCCCTGTCAGGGCAGTCGGTGGTGGTAGCCAGGCACCATCTAGTTGTGCTGGACTCAGTCTACTGGAGGCTGTGGTAGTTGTGGTCCATTAGTCCTTTGGGCTAATCTTCTCCCTTGTGTCTTTGGTTTTCTTCATTCTCCTTTGCTCCAGACACTGTGGGACCAGTGGATGTATCTTAGATGGTCACTCACAAGCTTTTAAGACCCTAGACACTACTCACCAAAGTAGAATATAGAACATTTTCTTTATAAACCATGTTATGCCAGTTGAGCTAGATGTCTCCCAAGCCTCAGCCCCCATGGTCCCCAGCCCTCAACCCAGTAACTTGGTCCCTCAGGGAGTTTGGATGCATCTGTGAAGCTTCCATGACCTTGCCTTGGTCAAGCTGTGCTGACTTCCCCAGTGTTGTGTACTGTCTTACCCTTCACCAAAGTTACCACATATCTATTATTGTCTAGTTAGTGTTTTTCCCTCCCTACTCATGTCCTCCCTTGTAACCATCAAAGATTGTTTCTTTCGGTGTGTAAACATTTTCATGAGTTTTTGTAATAGAGGTCTCATACAGTATTCATCTTTTTGTGTTTGCCTCATTTCACTCAGCAAATGCCCTCCAGATTCATCCATATTGTGAGATGTTTAGCAGATTCATCATTGTTCTTTATAGTTGTGTAGTATTCCATTGTGTGTTTGTATCATAGTTTGTTTATTCATTCTTCTGTTGATGGGCACCTAGGTTGTTTCCATCTTTTTGCTACTGTGAATAATGCTGCACTGAACATGGGTGTGCATATGTCTATTTGTGTGACACTTCTTATTTCTCTAGAATATATTCCTAGGAGTGCGATTGCTGGATTGTATGGTATTTCTATTTCTAGCTTTTTAAGGAAGTGCCATATCGTTTTCCAAAATGGTTGTACCATTTTGTATTCCCATCAGCAGTGCATAAGAGTTCCAATCTCCCCGCAGCCTCTCCAACATTTGTTATTTTCTCTGGTTTTGATTAGTGCCAGTAATGTTGGGATCTAAGCTCAACTTTTTCCCTCTATCTCTCCCTTCTGAAATAACGTTTAATATTTAGAGTTATGAGGTATCTGAGAATGCATTTTTTTGACTGTACTCCTGTTCTTATTGAACTTATCATGGGTGTTGCTAGGCTGGAATTATCTATAACATGTCCAGTCAGTGACCATGATTCCCTTTGAACTATTGTGTTTATATTCCTATGACCTTGTACCCCAGACCATGAGAACTTTGGCTAGTGAATTAGAGGTGGAGTGTTTTTTCTTCCTGCTGGGGAGGTTAGGTGTTCCTATAGTATCCTATTCTGCCTCTGTTATATCATAAATAGTATTGTAATTTATCTGTTTCCCTTTAAATCTCCCCCACCAGACTGAAATTCTCAAAGACTACGAGCGCTGGGTTTAGACTTTGGCTTACCGAGGTTCTGTAGTGCTAATCTTCATGTATCCTTTGCCTCCTTCCAAACAGCATTCAAAATAGTGCTGTTAGTACCAGTCCACGAGGGGACTGTACCATACATATAAGTGTTTGAAAAATATGATTTCTCAACAATGGACCAAACCTTTTGGAGCACAACTACCTTTAGTCCATTTTTATGCACAACTACTTTTAGTCCACTTACACACCTCTGTGCCTTTGCACCTGTGATCTCTCTTCCAGGAGTGCCTTTCTCCATTAGTGTTTCCATCTACCAAACTTCCCTTCACTTTCAAAGCTAGCCAAGAGTTCACCACCTCTGAGAAGCCTTCCCTTGCAAGTCTCTGATCCACAGTTCACTGCTCTCTTTTGAGGGACTTAAATATACTTTTTTTTATGCCAGATGCGTTTGGCTTTAACAAATTTACAAATCGTGTAATCTATGAGCTTCTTGAGGGCAACGTCCGTGTCTATTCATTTTGCATTCCCAGTCGTAATATGGTGCCAGGTACATAGTAAGGGCTCAAATAATGCTGATTTGTATTGCATTCCTCTCTGGTGCTGGAGGAAGAAACCATCTGGTAAATAGAATTATAACCCTGGTGAAGAAAGAGGATGGAACAGGGATTATTGCAATGACTGGTAGGAGGCTGAGGGTGAGGCTAAAGATGAGATTGGGGTAGGCATGCTATCAGGGGACTATAGCCACACCAGTGTGGGTGGTGACAGGCATTCGAGGAGTTGTGGACAGAATGTTAGCATAGCTATGAGTAGACGTCGGGCTTGTGGTATTAGTAGACTGAGCCCTGGGAATGGAAGGTTTATGTGGGATGACAAGATGGGAGATGCAGTGTGGAGGGCCCAGGAGGCGATGGCTATGTTGGGACCAAGACAGCAGTGGCTGGTAACTGGCAGCTGTGATGATGGAGAATGTGCTGGAGCAGGGACAGGAGATCCCTTCAGCAGCAAGGAGTCATAGCAGGGGAGGGCAGTTGCTGCAACCACGGCAACTTGGAGGCAACCAAAAGGATTGGGGCAATTCTATGTATTCTCCGTGGTCAGTTGGATGATTGATGATGAGATTCTATGTTACGTAGTCATGGAGAGCTTGAGACTAGCCAAAGAACCAAGTAACAGGTTTGGCTTAGCTTGCCAGGGAATGAGATCATGTATCCATAATGCTGAACAAATAGGGTTTGAAATGTGCATCAGAAAAGAATTTATTCTCTCCTCTTCTTAAACTCATTTCCTGTTCAAATCATTGTATGGGGCAGGGTTTTCTATGCCTGGATGAAATCTAGGACATACTTGGTTACTTACTTGTCTGGCCTTTCTCGGATGATTAAAAAAAAAAAAGATCTTTCAATAACTTTTATCTACACACACAGTGTTGGTTCAGTAATTATTATGTCCAGTTTAGTCCACTGTAGTAATACACATTTTATTCATTCAAAGGTAGAGCTACTCCCTGTCTCCAGCTTCTGCTTGTGATGGATGTGAAGCCTGTAGTGAGGAGAAGAAGGTTATGATAGACTTCTTCATCTATTTCCCTTCCTAACTAATCTATTCCTCCCCTACTTCAGTGCAGGAAGATCTCACAAGACTGGCATCAATTTGCCATTGGTTTCTTCCAGCCTTGGCAGATGTTAAATCTGACTTGTCCTTTTGTGTAGGCACTTATATAGGTTCTTTGGAGAATCCCTGCCTCCCCTGTTTCTGTGGATCTCTCACCTGTGTTTCCCTTGATATGGGGGGTTGTGCCTTCTCCTCCTTCATCCGCTAGGCATCTGGTGGGGGCTGCTGAGATTTCCTCACCTGTTCAAGCAGCCTTAATTCACATTTGATCATGTTGACTTTGCAGTACTTGTGCGATATTTAGGTGGAGACACTCAGGAAATATTCATCTAGTGCCCAAGGAGAGAGGTGTGATCTAGAAATACAGATATGGAGGTAAATGCTGTGCAGATGGTGACCGAAGTTATGAGAGTGGGCACGATTGCCCAGGGAGAGACATGGAACCCCCACAGAGATACTCACATTTAAGGAGCAGAACAAGGAAAAGCAACTGACAGAGAAGGCTGAAGCCTCTTTCAGAGTATGGGTTCTATAAAGGGGCAGACTTTATGGGAATCAGCCCAGAATACTATTCTGTCTATTCTTTACCCAGAATGTGGCACTTACTTACATGCATATTTTAGCTGTGTAAGGGCTTGTGTTCATTTCCTAGGGCTGCTCTAACCAACTACCACGAACAGGGTGGCTTAAAACAGCAGAAATGTATTCTCTCACAGTTCTAGTGCCAAGGAGTCTGAAATCAGGGTGTCAGCAGGACCATGCTCTTTCTAAAGGCTCTAGGGGAAGATTGATCCTTGCCTCTTTCTAGCTTCTGGTGCTTGCCTGCAGTTTTGATGTTCCTTGGTTCATAAATACGTTACTCCAGTCTCTGCCTCTGTTGTCACATGGGTTCCTCCTGTGTGTCTCTTCTGTGCCTCTGTGTCCAGATTTCCCTCTTAGAAAGATACCAGTCACTGGGTTAGGGCCTACCTTAATCCTGTATGGCTTCATCTTAACTTAATTGCATCTGCAAAGACCCTATTAACAAATAAGTTCACGTTAACAGGTGTGGGGGAATGAGGACGCAGATATATCTTTTTCAGGGTCACACAGTTCAACCCACAACAGAACCCTAAGCTGTTTTCCTTCCAAGTTAACCCGGTTTTGAAAAATGATATTAACTTCACTTTAGAATTTCTTATTCTTTTAAGACAAAATTTAACTCTTTTTTTTTTTTTTTAGTTGTATACGAACACAGATCGAGATTAGAGAAATCCCTGCAAAAGGAAAGACTTGAACATAAGAAAGCAAAGGAAGGTAAATAATTTAATTTGTGTTCCATGTTTTTATCATATTCTTCTTTGAAGCATTATGTACTTGCTTTACTATTTTTTTGTGAAGAAATTTCTCAGATCAACCCAAAGTCAGTATTATAGGTGGATGAAGAAAGAGAGGTGTCAAACAATATGTTATGTGTTGCACAGTAGTTCCTGTTGAGGATTGGATTTAGAATCCTTCATTCAGTTCATACTTCCTTGAAGTAGTTCATATATTGGTAATACGTATTATTTCAAAAATAACGATTTTTTATCTGAATATTATAGACATATGCTAATAATACCTGGAATTTCTGTCTATAAATCTCTAGGGAAAAAAAAGAGTAACAGCTTGCAAGGTCCAGAATATATATATATATATAAATAATTGAGCACATAGTCTAGTATGTTTTAAGTAATGCACCTGTTTTTGTCTTTTGAAAGATTTTATCAGCATAGCTGATTGGTTCAGTTTGAAAAATTAACATTTAGCAAGACTATTCACTGTTTTAGAGTTTTTCTATAAAGCACAGGCCTTGTAGAGTTTATAATTCGAACTTTTCTGCCCTCCTATTTTTATTTACTTATTCATATTATGTAGTCAATTTTGAGATTTAAGTTAGAGTTGTTCTGTCTGATTACCTTGGTAGGATAGAAGGAGGCAAAGCAGAGGAAGACAGTATTGGTTGGGATGTTTTACTGACCCTTGGGTTAATCCTGTGTGAAGTGTAGAAGTTTAACATAATTAAAATGCTTTGATAGGATTTGGATTTTCCTTGTCTTCAAATGCTGAATGATTTTTTAGAGCCATCTAGTGGATAATAAAGCTTTAAGAGCATGAAAAATGGTGTTGATGGTCTGAGTTCTCTTCAAGTCCTGAATGATTATAGTGTGCCATCTAGTGGGTAGCAATAAATCATCCATGTCTTCATTTGCGCTTCGTTTTTTTCTGCCAATTTCAAGGAGAGTTAATCACAGAGATACTCTAAATGCACTTTTAATCAATTGGTTATAATGTGGGTTTTGTTGATTAAGATTTACAGCTCTAAGGTAAGGAGGAAGATTGTATAATAACTCTTTTCAACTCTTTTTAAAGTATTAAGTGGTCAAAAGAAGTATATAAATCACCAAATAGATTGTTTTAAAACTAGAACATTTTTGCAAGACTGCGTAAAGGTTGCCTTTAATTTTTTAGATGTTTTAAAATTACACAATGAATTAACTTATACTCTATTTACTTTCTCCATCTTTTATTTCTTAGATTTCCTTGTTTATAAGTTAGAAGCACAGGAAACACTAAATAAAGGAAGAGTAAGTCTATTTTCTCTTAACTTTTTTCTTATGAAACTTGAAGGAATGGGAAATACATCACAAAATGTTTTACTCTGTTGATCACTAGGGTTGTTGGGCTAAGATACGTTTTTTTTACTACCAAAAAAATTCCAAGAGGAAAGCTTTCAAAATTATTCTTTTAAAACTTACCTTTGCTTATTATTACTGATGACAGTGATTGTCTTGGTTTCCTAGGACTGCCGTAACAAAATACCACAAAGTATATGGCTTTAAAGAATGAGAATTTGTTGTCTCACAGTTTTGAGGGCAAGGAGTCTGAATCCAGGGCGATTGCAGGGCTAAGCTCACGCATGCGCAGGTGCACACACTCTCTATGTAGGCTCTAGGGGAAAATCCTTGTGTTCTTTCTTCTCCCGTAATTCTGGGTATTTCTTGGGGTTCCTTGGTTGCTTGTAGATGTCTCTTCACATGGTGTCTGTCTTCTCCTGTATGTGTTTGTCTCTGTGTCTGTATTCCTCTTTATAAGACACTATTCAGAAGAGATTAGGTTTAGGACCCACCCAACTGCTGCATGACCTCGTTAACATAACAAGAAAAATCCTATTTCCAAACAGGATCACATTCACTGGTATAGGGGTTAGAATTTCAATACTTTTTTAGAGGGCACAATTCAGTCCCTAACAGTGATAAATTTGGAGTAGCTTCAATGTTCAACAGGAAAAAAAAAGATTATTTTTATTCATTCATTCATTTCTAGTCTTTCTTTTCCATGAAATGTAATATTTACATGGGTTTACCTTTGCATGCATAGTGTCTAATACAGTACCTGGCCTAGAGCAGGCATTCAGAAACATTTGTGGAATGAATGAATGAATGAATAATATTGGCATTTAAAACATTTTTAAAGTCTGATTTAACTGTAGAAAAACAAGTCTTCCTCTTACTCTAAGAAAAATATATGAGTATTAGTTGAGTAAGATATTGGTGTTTGGGGGCATTAAAACTGAGAAGAGTCAGTTCCCTTGGAGAGCCTGGGAGCCTATCAGCTTTCAATTCTTATTTGCTTTTAAAAGCCTGGCCAGAGCTGTGGCTGTCTGTTGTACATGTTATAGTGTAATTTCCTTATTAATTAGAATAAAGTCGTGAAGCAATAAAATAAAGTGATAAAGCAAAAATATAGTTCATTTTAGAAGTTGCAAAAATATGAAAGAAAATCTGTGAAAGTATGCTTATGCTGGCAACAAGGTAAAGCAAGAGGCAGGTAAAGATAAAACAACAAAGTGTAGGGAAGAAAACATTGCAGGAGCCCTTTGTGTACTTATTGGTTATGGCTGCTCGGACTGTGGGAATGTGTTAGGTGCACAGATGCTCCATTGGGACACAAATATATACCAGCAGAACATGGAGCTTGGACGTTAATTTATACTTCAGTTTCAGTCCTGGCTGTGCTGCTTAAACAAGATGTTTGCCTTCAGGTATCTTCCTTAACCTTTCTGAATTCGTTTCTCACTCCGTGAAGTGGAGTCTCACTGGGGTAAAGTAATGTGTGTAGAATTTCTTACCCACTGAAGCTCAGTGAAAGAGAGCACCTTTTCACTTCTCTCACTTAAGCCATTCTAAACCTGGAAGGAATGTTCCTAGTTGGTTTATCTCCTCTTCCCCCTTCACTTGCGCACCCAGCACAGTGTATTAGCCATATGTGGTGACTGTGTCTCAGGACAAGTCCCTCCGTGTGTCTGGCCTCAGTTCTCCTGAATATGAGAGGTGAGACTAAATCGTCTCTAAGGGCCCATTTAAGCTACCATTTTATGATTCTGTATGCTGTCTTTTCATTACTAAAATCTAGCAATGGTATGCTAAAACTTCATTTCTGCTGTAAAGAAATGGCTCCAGAGACAGCCTGATTTAAGCATAGAATTCATTTCAGCTTACACAAGTGAAATAATTGAAATTCTCCTATTAAGAGCTTTACACTGTATTTAGCAGGAGAGCTAGATTTGTTTATGTTGTGTTGACCACTTTCTTTTCAATTTACAGCAAGATTCCAACAGCAGATATAGTGCATTGAATGTCCAACATCAGATGTTGAAAGTGAGTAGTTTAAAGCTGTTCTTCATGAATGAAAGAATTAACTAATATTTGAACTGATTAATGCAGTGGTCTTTCAGGTGATTACAGAAAGTTTACAGAAAGTTGATTTGTATAATAGTATGGTATATTAAAGTCATATTTGGTTTAAATTATGTATAATTGTAATGTCCCATCATATTTAGCACCTGATTGCAAAGAACATATTTAGCTTATTATATATTTTCTTATAAATCAGGTACTCTATAGTGTTGCTATGAGTCGGAATCAACTCGGCTGCAACTTGTTTGGTTTTTTTTTTTTCTGGTAATCTAACTTTTTGTTTTGTTCTTCTCTTTATCCTTTAAGGTTTTTTGTTTGTTTGCTTGTTTTAATTTCTCCCAATGATTTTCTTTTCTCTTAGACAGACTGGAGACTACCTATTAAAATGCTTCCTTCATGTTACTACATTTAATAAATATTCTTTTACCTACCACAGGAACACAATTTATATTTAAAGATTCTCCTTCCTTGGTCCTTGGATAAGACTTATTACTGGGTTTCAGGAAGACAAAAAAAAAAAAAAAAAAGAGAAAGTCATTGTTTGTGTGAAGCTAGAAGAGATGAGCAGCATGTCATTATGCCACTCTGCACAGCATGCAAACCATGCCACAGCCCCCCTGCCCCTAATTTTTCGTTTAGTATTCTTTTCTCCTATATCAGGCGGGGCACATGCTTTTTATTGAAACCAGAACTTTTCCTTTTATCAAGAATGCAGTACATGAATTAAAGCAGACAATCCTTTCACATGAAGCATTTGGTGACTATAGTATTTATCTAGATTGTGATTAAGTGTCGTGATATAATCAGAAGTAAGAAAAATGACAATTATTCTGTAAACAGTCAATTTATCACTGTCTCAAAAGGGGAAATATCTTTTTTTTTTCCCAACTGGGTTACCAGAGAAGGCTGGAAACCAGAGAAGAGGAATCAGTTCTGTTGCTGGGGAAATACCAGATTGAAGTAGGAAGTCCAGAACATCCGTAGAGGGATAATTTTGCCATTAGCTTTCCTTGTTTCCATAGTAATTTGAATCTCTGTGATCTTCCCAGATCACTCTTTCTCCGTCTCTCATGCTGACTTCTTGTTTCCCATTAATGTTAAAAATTAAGAGGAAAATTATTTTTGGCCATAATCCCAAAGTATTCATGTAAAATGTAGGGGAAATGTTGGGGAGCTATATAAATTAAAAGCAACCTCAGGGAAATGAGGCCAATGTTTTCATTTGTTCTTTCTTCCAAGAGAAAAATTTTGCTCTCAAGAAATAGTTTTTTATATAATTTATGCACAGAATGTATATCTCTGCTCAGGTTTTCATCTTTGCAGAGTCAACATGAGGAGCTAAAGAAACAGCACAGTGACTTGGAAGAGGAGCATCGCAAACAAGGGGAAGACTTCAGTAGAACATTTAATGACCATAAGCAGAAATACCTGCAGCTTCAGCAAGAGAAAGAACAAGAACTTTCTAAGCTAAAAGGTGTTTGAAAATCTAATTAGCCTGTGTGTATGAAAATAAGTGCTCATATTGTTTCAATAGAGCAATAGACTTTTATTTTGTTTGCTTTTGCATAGTGATTGATTTATCGTCTGGTTCTTTACCAGCCACTTGCTTCTTTGTAGTATTTCACATTTATCCATATCTTTTTTAATTTGTTTAGGAAGCATAATAGAATACTTAATGTTTCTCAATGGGGTTGAGTGGCAACAGGGTGGCAAGACATCTAGCATCTCTAACCCCTGCACACTAAGTGCCATCAATGCTCCGCAGTCATTGTGACAGTGAAAAATTGCCCCGTGTATTTCTAAAACTCCCCACGGGGGCAGAGAGACTTCCTCTTGGGCTGTTAAGTACTGATAGTAGCTATGATAAATTCAGGCTCTAGAGCCAGACTGCCTGGGTGAATCTTGGCTTCTCCAATTACTAGTTACGTGATTATGGCAAATTGTGTAATCATTGTGGGCCTCATTGTCCTCATCTGTAAAGTTGGGATAATCTTAAAAAGTATCAACCTCATAGGGTTGGTGCGAGAATTAAATAATATGTTGAAGGAACTGTTACTGGCATATGGTAAACGTTCAGTATTTATTATCTGCCCATCATCATCATCATCATCAGGTATTTTCAGAGTAAAATGGAACAAAATGTATCACTTCTCTGAATGTATGTAAGTCCTGGAAAGGGAGCTAGCACATTCTACATTCAAATATTCAAATATTTGAAGTGTTGGAATGGTTTAAAAAGGCACATGGTGCATGGAAAAAATGATGAAATCCTAGTAGGGCTGTAGTTAATCGCACTGTGCCAACCAGTTTCCTAGTTTTGGTGGTGTGCTATGTTTATATAAGATGTCACCATTGAGGGAAGCTGGGTAATGGATACTTGGGACCTGGCTGTACTATTTTTTTGCAACTTTGTGTCTATAATTATTTCAAAGTAAAAAGTTAAAAAGGCACATGGGAGTTAAGTGGTCATCAAGGCAATAGTACAGAGGGTTAAGGTGGTCTTGATAGAGTCAGGCCAGGTATGGGCAAACAGCACCCAAGAGATGTAGATTAGACATACAGGGTACTTGGCTTGTTAGTGATGTGGAAGGTGATGAGGGATTGTTGAAGATGACAAAACAAAGAAAGGAAGGAAGACTGAACACCAAAAGTCCTCACAAAGGTAATATAATGGAAGAGAGTACCAGAGAACTCCAGTGTCAGATGTCAGTTGCCTTGCTTGAGTGTAGGAAGCTACCCCTTGAGTGAAGAGGGGAGGTGAGACATTGACTTACTGGGTACACTGTTCGTTGTTGTTAGGTGTTGTACAGTCATCTCCCACTCATGGTCCCCTTATATATACAGAAGGAAATGTTGCCTGTCTGGTGCCATCTTCATGATTATTGTTATGATACAGTGTTTAGCATTTGCAAACTTAAGCTAGCTGAATAAATACATATATTGATAATAAGTAGATTCATTAAGGAAGGATAAAATTAGCAAATAAAATTTGCTATGTACCTGATGTATGCATGGCATACTTTAAGAGCTTTATATAAATTAGTACATTTACTTTTAGTAATAGCCCTGAAAGGAAGACTTTCTTATGTTCACTCTTATATTTGCTCCTTATTTGAAACAAAGTACATATGTAGTACAATTTTAACAAATTATAAATTGAAGTCAGAAATCAGAGTCATGAAAACAGGAGGACACAGATATGTCAAGTTCTAAAATGATCCAAGCCCCATTACCTGGTCTGAACTTCCTAGCACTCAGGACAAATGGGGAAATATGGTAAGTTTTAGGGCTCTTGTCAACATAAAAAGAGAATATGCTAGTGCCTTCGAGGGAGAGAGAGACAACAGTGTTTCTGGTACCAATTTCTAGAAGACATTCCTTACCAGACCCCAAACCCATTGCCGTTGAGTTGATTCTGACTCATAACGACCTTATAGGACAGAGTAGAACTGTCCCATACGATTTCCAATGAGTGGCTGGTGGATTCGAACTGCCAACCTTTCGATTAGCAGCCAAGCTCCTAACCACTGTGCCACCAGGGTTCCAGACATTCCTTAGAGACTTAAATAAAAGAGTAGGCAGTGCCTTTGATGACACTTTTCCAAATAATTTTCACATCAGCACTTCTCTTTGGTTATGATCCCTGATAAAAAAACTTAGAATAGTAAATTAAAGCATTTTGTAGCAGATGCTGGTCAGTAGTGGCTAACTAAGGTGTATAGTCCACGTTGTCTTTGGTAGTTCAATATGATCCAAGGAGACAATTTAGAATTCCTAGGGAGGTTGAGCTGATCGCATGTAAGCTTAGATAATTATTCTTTTGGTTATTATTATAATGACTGACACTTAATAAATGTTTACCATATGCTAGTACCCGGTGAAACTCTTCATATGGATTGTTTTAATTCTTATCACAACCTCTAAGGTAGGCGTTGTGTTTAGCCTCATTTAACGGATGAAGTTGAGGTTGACCAAAGTTAAATAACTTGCTCAAGGTGACACAGCAAAGGCAGGGGAGCCAAGATTCAAACTTACTCCAGAGTATTCTACTCCCATTAAGTTTATCACCTGAAATTCCTTCAAAAGATATCCAAGTTTGGGTATTTTATAGGTATGTATATGTGTGTGTATATGCATGTATGTATGTCCAGTCAATGACACACTTAAGGTCCTCTTGGATTGCCAGTGGCCTCCTGTTTTTTCCTTTGAAAAAAATCCATTATTACCTATAGGTGGGCAACCCAGTCATTGGCCACATTTCCCATCTTTGTTCTTGATTTCTCCCCAAAACTCAATTGTAAATCTAATGCCCAGGGGTCAGGCTAGGACCTAAAGGAGTAAAAGTGACCAGAAATAATAAGAGAGATGGTGACTGATGCTTTGCTTCCATGCTTAGTGACACTCCGGAGAGTTAGGGTTTTGTCTGCAGGTTGTGACTGCCACTCGGGCAGTTTGGCCAGGACCAAAAAACCAAACTTGTTCCCACTGAGTTGATTCTGATGCATGGCAATCACATGTATTAGAACTGAACTCCGCAGGGTTTTCTTGGGTATAATTTTTACTGAAACAGATCTCTAGGCCCTTCTTCTGTGGTGCTGCTAAGTGGGTTCGAACTGCCCACCTTTTGGTTAGTACTTGAGCACAAACGTTTTGCACCACCCAGGGACCTTTGCTCAGGACAGTCCCAGCGTAATTATTAATAGCACACCTTTTCACTCCCAAGTGTATCTCCCATTGGAGAATGAGTTATATGGTCACCCTGTTGCCACTCAACTCCTGCAGAGCATTGTCATATCAGAATTGGCCTAGTATTGCCAGCTCTTACTAAGCCCAAATTTCTTGATTTTTAAATGGTGACAATTATTCACATATGGAGATACTGTATAGGCCAACACTGCAGAGGCCAAAAAATATGTCTATGGGTTGGATTTGGCACAAGGGTTGCCAGTTCACAACATCTGATGTCTGGATTCAGGGAATGTGGGAAATTACCGTGAGGGTCTGTTCCCTGAGCAGTAGAGTTTGGGACTGGGGAGATGTTACGACCATACTCTCGCTGCTACAGCCTAGAAAGAACTTTCCTATAGTTATGGAGGTAGAATTTGGATCGGTCAAGAATTCAATGGTAGGAGAAAGAAAAAATATTTAGAATTTTTTTTAGATGGGTGTCTTAGTTTCTTAGTGCTGCTACGAAAGAAATACCACAAGTGGGTGGCTTTACCAAACAAAAATTTATTTTTTCAGAATTTAAGAGGCTAGAAGTCCAAATTCAGAGCTCCAGCTCCAGGGGAAGGCTCTCTCTGTCCACTCGGGGGGAAATCCTTGCCTCAGCTTCTCTAGTGGTCTTCTTGAAGATCTCCACATGGCATTTATGTTTTCCACATTCATTCTTCTCTCTGTGCCTAATTGCCTCTTTTTATATCCCTACACTTATATGGCCTCATGAATGTAACAAAGAAAACCCTATTCCCAAATTGGGTTACATCCACAGATATAGGGGGTTAGGATTTATAGACGTATTTTTGAGGGAGACAATTCAATCCATAACAAGTAAGTAGGGTTTCTCTCTTTCTCTGTGCTTGCCTCTCTCTTTCTTGAGCTGCTTTTGTAATCAAAGTACCTTTTGAGGACATGGGAATTATTTATGCTACGAGAAATGAGGTCTGTACTTTTTGATAACTTTAATTCATGAAGAGACTAAGATCTTAGACCACCTCTGCCCTGTTACATGTTATTCATACGTGATTGTTTATTAACAGAAATATTTAACTCCTGAGTAATTAAAAATCCTTAACTTCTTCTATGATATGTAACTTGTTTAAAAGTGTTTAAACTACTGAACCAGGTTACAGTAAGACGTCCAGTTGAATCCATGCCACATCCCAATATGGTATATAGTTCTGTTGAATTGGAATCTTACACTGTCAGAGTTCAAAACAAATTCTAAATCAAGTTAATGGGAGGCTTTAAATGTGGAGGTGATAGAATCATAAGGCTGACAGTTTCAAGGCTTTATGCGTGTTTTTTCTTTTTCTGAAATAGAAACTGTGTATAATTTGAGAGAAGAGAATAGACAACTAAGGAAAGCACACCAAGACATGCATACACAGCTTCAAGATGTGAAGGTAAAATAAAAGCAAACATTTTACTGTTTGGTGTTTTTCTGCTTTACTTTGTAGGATGACTTTTATAATCCATGCTTTACAAGTCCATATTGTTATTTTGGGCTTTGCATAAATTGAAGTATACCTAGCATTTTTACCACCTCTACATCTTAAGCTATAAGATTGTCTGAAGATCAAAGTATTTTCCTTAGTACCCAAATGATTCTTTTGCTATAGATGATTGCATTTTACTAAACCTATTACAAATATTTGTTAATGATAAAAGATTTGCTTCTTTGGTTTCGATTTCATGTGGTTTTAATATTTTGGTAGCGTATTTTAAATTTTGGAATACTACATAAACCGGTCTTGTCTCCACGGTAGTTTTTAAACTCAGCGAATGTTGCAACAACAACAAACAAATAAATAAACAAGCAGGCAATGTTTGGGTGGTTATACCACTGTCAGCCAAAGAGAGTTTGACTTAGGATGTTAAAGCTCAACATGTAAACTTCTTTTTTGTGTAGCAACAACATAAGAATTTACTCTCCGAGCATGAACAACTTGTAGTGACTCTGGAAGACCACAAGAGTGCACTAGCTGCTGCACAGGTTAGCAGGGTAGCAGCCTCTATGGGTTCTTTTCAGTCTGCATAACATTTCTGAATTCCTCTATGCATGTAGTCTCTTACAAGCCAATCTTCAATGAGTTCCTTAGGACAGAGCTAGCCTGATCTTGAGGATCATGCATGCTTTTAAAAGACAATCACGAGAAAACTAAATACATCTTTGATTATTTTTCACACTGATTGTGTGAATCATATTACTATTCCTACCCTGTCCCTTTTCCTACCTACCAGCCTGTATGTGCAGTAATCTAATACTTGTTTAAATCTCAGAAATTATTCCATATACATGATCTTTTGCAACTATCTGATCTGTGTTGGTTCTTGGTAAAGGGATTGTTGTTGTTAGGTACTATCGAGTCGGTTCTGACTCATAGCGACCCTGTAGCACAGAGTAGAACTGCCCCATAGGGTTTCCAAGGAGTGGTGGTGGATTTGACCTGCTGACCTTTTGGTTAGCAGCTGAGCTCTTAATCACTATGCCACAAGGACTTCTAGTAAAGGAATAGGATCTATAAGATTTTATGGTGTTAGCCACCTAAATAAATTATTGTCAGACTTTTCTTCAGTCCCTCCAATACTCTCAGCATTCCAGCCTAGACACACTGCCTTTGGGACTAAGTTTATGGGCTGTGGGTAAAATTACAGAACATAAGATAAAACCTCATGTCAAGAGAGAAGCAAAAGCAAGAGTCATAAGCTTCGTTTGTTCAAAGCCTATAACCATCCCTGGCACAAGGCAAGCCCTCAACAGATATTTACTGAATAAGCAAATGAACAAATACAAGCTTTGGAGAGCTTATTAAAGTGATACCATATGGAGTATTTTACAGCTTTCTAGTAGAAGTAAAAAAACAGGAATGACTAGCTTAGTCACTCACTATATTAAACTAGATCTTTTCCTTTTTGGTGGAGAAGTTAAGAGGAAAGGGCAAAGGGAAACCAACTAACTGTGCTTATCAGGAAACTTTTATTATTATTATTGTTTATTCCTTTTTTTTAATTGTACTTCAGGTGAAGGCTTACAGAGCAAATAGTTTCTCATGAAACAGTAGTACACATGTTGTTTTATGACATTGGTTAACAACCCCACGACATGTCAACCCTCTCCCTTCTTGACCTTCTTTT